GAAGCCCTAGGCTGTTGCCTTCCAACAGGCTGTTCCAACTTCTTGCCTTGGAGTTTTATTTCATTGGGGGTGTTTTTTGGAACCTTGACAGCTGTTTTCTCTCATCTCTCACCATTCTTTTTTTTTAAAAAAAATAATAATAATGTTTATTTTTTTAAACATAATGTTAAATTCAGTCACCAGGTTGCAATTTTACTCTATTCTAAAAATGGTTTTCTGTTCTTCAAGAAAATCTTGTGGGCATGCTTTTTTTAAAAAAATATTTTTATTAAACAGTTCTTTAAAAAAACAAAAAGAAATATTTACACTTTCTTCTTTTCAACAGTTTCGCACTGGTAATCCATACTTATACATTTTCTCTCTCTTATATTATGATATCTTTTATACATATATTTCTAATATATCATATATATACCACTATAATGTATTATATTATTATAATTGTTTTATTTATATTAGACATAAACATGTACCCATCTCTCACCATTCTTATTCTCCCACCATATAGATTCATTGGATGATCCCGAAAAGAGGAGAACAACTTTTTCTTATTGCTTTCTCCATGCAATGTGTAATGACCAAACAACCCTTTTTCCTCACCTCTTTTCCAATTTACACAACTCCAGATACCACATTTGTTTCTCCAGTCTAGGAGAAGAAGTGGCAAAGTCAAGAGAGGACTCAGTCTAGAATTATTATGTGCCCACATACACTCCAGGTCCTGCTCCCCTTGAATCCATTGACTCTTATCTAGTGCCAATTTAGTGCTGACTTTTAGTTGACTAGATTCTTGTGTATAGGCTTGAGCAATAAATCTGGAACTTAATGTATGGTCCTGGTTCTTTAGCTTGACATCCAGGGAACAAACATTTTGGTGGTCCTGATATGCAACTTTCTTAGTCCTTTACTATCTTTACTATCTTTTGAATACCATGAGCAGAACTGAACATGGTGGCTTAGTATGTTTTAAGTTTGGCTTCTTGAATAAATAATTTAAGTGCTAATAAGATTTGGAATGTATTTCCTAGATTGCTAGCCTGTCTTTTTTCCAGGAGCTGCATGGAAATCTCCATTTCTTTTATTCCAATAGCATCTGTGAAGAATAGGTTTAAAGTGACTGGTCCAAAGTCACCCAGTGACTTTTCATGGCCAACAGTGGATTTGAATTTGGGTTTTCCCATTCCTAATCTAACATTAGCTTAAGATGTATGTATCCTGCTGTTTTGTAAATGGTTTTTGTTTTTGTTCATGGTTTAATAGAATGTTGGAATCTGGTCAATTTTTATCTAGCTACGGTATTCACTAAATCACAGAATCATAGAATTGAACAAGACCAAGAGATCTTCTAGTCCAGGGGTCAGCAACCCTTGGCTTTGGCGCCGCATGTGGCTCTTTCATCCCTCTGCTGCAGCTCCCTGTTGCTGGTTGGCTCCACAATTGATAGGGCTTTTGGTTAAGACAGGTAGAGGAAAAAGGATACCATGGTAGGAGGAGACTCTATGGTGGGGGAACCGACTTCCAGTTGGCAGAGGAAAAAGGACACTGCGCTAGGAGGAGACTATGATGGGGGAACCAGACTTCCAGTCAGCTGCAGAATTGAATGGGGTCTTCCAGTTAGGACCTTTGTGGCTCTTTAAGTGTTTAAGGTTGCCAACCCCTGATCTTAGTCTAACTCCTGTAGGAATCTCCTGAAACAGCCCCAATGGGCAGACATCAGTCTCCATTTAATATCCCCAATTCCAGGGATTCCACCACTTTTCTAGGCAGAACGTTCTAGAACTAACAAGCTGCCATAGCCAGGAGATTCCTTTTGACATTCTTCTTGATTCAACCAAAAACTCTTATCCTGCTCTCAGTTTCAACAGGAAAAAGGGTCCATGCCTTTTAGATAGTCATAGATAATCACTGTGTTGTGATTATGTGGTTCTCCATAAACCTTACTCTTTTAATGTTTCCTCACAGGGCTCAGTTTCCAGGCATCATACTGTCCTGGGAGCTTTTGTCTAAATCCTCTTCAGTTTCTCCATCTCCCTTTTACAATTTACTCAGTCTGGAGTACAATGGAACTACTCCTTCCTGTGATTTGGACAAAATGTATTGGTCTTTTTAGTTGGAACTCCACAACTACTCCTAAATTCTTCTCATATATACTGCCATGAAGACAGGTCTCCCCAACATGTACTACATTTTTTCCCTAGTCAGATGCAGGATCTTATATTTCTGACCTGTTTCATTTGGTTCATCCTCAAGCCTACTGAGATCATTGTGAACTATGATTTTTTTTTTTTGTCTTCTAAAGTCACCTACAATGTTGCACATTTCCAGCTATTCAAAACCAGCACTGATATTCCCTTGTATTGATAATTAACACGGACTTTGATAGTCTAGTTCCAATGTGCCTTGCAAACCCTCTTCCCTGCCTGTGACCTAACATTCAAACCATTTCTCAACATAGATCTACTGCTCTATTGAAAGAACACTAAACCCAGATCCGAAAATAGCCTGGCAGATAAGTTCAAAGCATGCAGGAGGAATGCAGAGTGAAGTGAGAGAGAGCTGTGAATGTGGGTATAAAATCATCCTGTGTGTATACACCTGTAAATCTACATATATATTTCATTGTTTACATGACTGTGCACTCATGCCTGGATGTATGAGAGTGCATATTTATCAATGTCATCATGGGTACAGACACACACATGAGGTTCAAAGTGGAAGGAGAAGTGCAATAGTTGGATTTTAATAGCAGAGATTATTACATGAGACCCAGGGTAGAAGACCATTGAATTTAATAGCAGACACTTTAATTACACGAGAGCCAGTGTAGTATCGCATAGTGGTTAAGCTGCTGGACTAAGAGCCAGAAGACCCAGGTTCAAGTCCTCTCTTGGGCACAAAAGCCATGTGAGAGACCATGGACCAGTCGTTTCCTCTCTGTTCTAATCAACATCAGACTTTGGAACAAGTTGGCTGATAAATGTAAAGCCGTTTCACTGTAAAAAAACAGGTATCAAAGTACAGAAACCAGCAGACCCTGCAGCCATAGTAGACAAACACTGAAGAACAATAATTCAATTACATGTTCAATTACATTTCCGGGCATTGCCAGCTTTGAGGTCAGATCCAGACTCCTTGGTCACTTCCTACTAGCATCACCATTCACTACTGGCAAACCAATAAATAAGTGGAGACATTCAATTATACTTTCAATTACAAGTAGATACTCCTACTTACAATAACTACTGAATTTCACCTATTTCTGTGTTCCAGTTCAAACGGACTAATTTCCCAAGATTAGACGGAAGCTAGTAGTGGCAGTAGCAGCAGCATGCTATTTTGGCAGCTGTGCCTCTTGCACTAAATACTGCAATGCAGTCCCTTGTTAGCTACCTTGCTTGACAACCACTGAAAGAGTAGTATTTTTGCAAGAGTACAGCTTTCCCGGGATTGTGCAATAGTGCAAGAGCAGTGTGTATCACTTCTGTGCAACACAGACATGATTCCTCTCACTGCTGTTTCTGGATATTACATGGGTAATTGTCAGCACGGAAAAAAAGAGCCACAAAGAACAAAGTAAACACCATGGTGGATTCTCTGAAGTCTGCTAGCATCACCAAGTTCTGTGATAATAAATAACCCGGATCGTATCTGACATTCAAAGTATGAAAGTGGAGGAAGGCCTTGGAGCCCTTGAGGGGACAGAAATCACAGTCCAGGACTTTGCAAAAAGGAACCCAAACTTTGCGGAGAATTTGGATCCTCCTGTTGCAAGATGGCCATGAAGATAGGATGCTCCGCTTTCAGCAGAGGACAGGATGCAATCCCACGGTTGCACCAGCAGAAACCATCCTCTATACATCTATGGCAATGAACTCAGCTGGTATTGACCTTTTTTTATTTAATGATAGCTAGATTTAGAATGAAAGGAAGCACTCTTCTTGAGAACACAGACTGGCTTCAGCTGCTGCTTCAGAGCCAAAACACAATACTATACCAGTTAATTCTGGAAGAGGAAATGGGGGTGATAACTGTGAAGTTGCTGCTCCTGAGAGCTAACCCTTGCCAGTGTTCTAAAATGATGGTGCTTTGGTATTGTTATCCTCTTGTTTCTGCACCCCAGCAATAACCTCTCAGTCTATCCATTTATCAGTAGATTCTAAAGATACTGTACCAGAGGTGGGTTTCAGCAGGTTCTGACCAGTTCTGGAGAACCGGTAGCAGAAATTTTGAATAGTTCAGAGAACCGGTAGTAAAAATTCTGACTGGCCCCGCCCCCATCTATTCTCTGCCTCCCAAGTCCCAGCTGATTGGGAGGAAATGGGGATTCTGCAGTATCCTTCCCCTGGAGTGGGGAGGGAATGGAGATTTTACAGTATCCTTCCCCTGCCATACCCACCAAGCCATGCCCATAGAACCGGTAGTAAAAAAAATTTGAAACCCACCACTGTACTGTACCTATTTTCGTTTAAAAATAAGAAGCATGTGTATATGAAGCTGTCCATGTGGAAGAGTGTTGGTGTAGGACCAAGAAAACTCAGGATCAAATTCAGTGGAAATTCCCAGGATGACTTTGGGTGAGTTGCCCTCTCTTAGCCTAATCTGTCATGAGAGAGAGGCAGGGAGGGAGAGAGAGGGAGAGGATGAAAGAGAGAGAGAATGAAAGAGAGAGAAAAGAAAAGTGAATGAGAGAGAGAGAGAATGAAAGAGAGAGAGAGAGAATGAAAGAGAGGGGGTAACATATGGGAAGGAATAGAGTAAACTGCTGCTCTGCTACTCCAAATCTTCCCTCCACTTCTTCAGGATGTGTCAGCTCTGTTGTACTCTACTGCTCTATTGTTGAGAGAAGGCGAAGAAAGTAAAATGAGAAGCTACATCACCAAGGCTAACCACAGATTAGCGATTTTATTGAGAATGCCAGGTGACATGATATTGTACATGTCCCTAGTTTGTACTCTACATTTTCTGCTAACGATATTCCAGCATGAAACAGAGTAGGGCATCACCAATGCTCGTGGGCTCTGAGCATCCATCTTGCTGGGTGAAAAATGTGACGATTCCAACTCTAGATCTGGATGAAAATACAATAATTAGTAAACATCCCAACATATGTGCTTAGCAGTGTGTTCAGTATAATTGTCTTTCCAATTTAAAGATTAAGATTGCTTTGTTATGTCAGTGTTTAGTGCAAGCCTGCCAAGAGTCCTTTTTCCTCGCCCAAACTATCAGTGCACCCCTGATGTGATAAGTCTGTCACTCTCATCATGTCCTGTCATCCTGTATTTTCATTTCCTTCTGTTCCTTCTTATGCACTCCTGATTTCTCAACCGAAGTACCTTCTGGTATAGTGGTTAAAGGTGCAGGACTAAGAACCAAGAGACAGTGAATTCTAGATCTCCCCTACGCATAAAAGCCAGCTGGGTGACTTTGGGCCAGTCCCTTTCTCTCAGACCAATCACCTCACCTCATAGGATTGCTATTGTGGGGGAAAAAAATAAGGACTGGGAACATAATCTATGCAGCCTTGAGTTGTACAATAACAGTAATGCTATTTCCAGTCCCTATGGTCAAATCTGGTAATGTTATTCCCAAACAACTGTAAGTAGGGACAGAATACCTACTCTCTTCTGCTCTTGGGGACCCTTTTCACATGAAAAAGCAGGTAATGAGTTCAAGAAGCAAGAGAAGTGCTTCATGGTTACTGCATAGAGGACCAAAATGCTGAAGTCCTCCTGAGAAACCCCCAAAGTTGTTTTCTCTTCCCTTGCTGGCGGTGGGGGAGGGAACCCAGCAAAGCACCTTTGGCTTTAGTTCTTTTCTTTCCCTGCTTCTCTGAGCATTGAGCATTCAGTTCTCAGAGTTGTGCAAAGGGTGGAATTAAAGGATCTAGTTAACAGAGGATGCATCTTCAAAATATTTGGCACGTCCTGCATGTTAGTTCCCCAATGCTGAGCAGAGGAATGTGGAGGGGAAGTCACACACACACACACACACACACACACACACACCATTTTACCATGTCACTTGGGCTGTCTGTTCCTCTGGTGATGTGGAAATCGATGGACGGAGTCCTCTGGAGGTGCAGCTGATGGAGGAAGCATTGGGAGAGGAGGTGGAGAATTTACTGGACTTGCAGAATGATTCATATAGAACATTTTGATTGCTCAGACCCCACAGGCATACACAAACACATCCATACCCCAAAGTCTATAATTGTGTTTGAAGCACAGTGCAGGTAGCAGCTGCTTCCAAGAACAAGACTGATACTCTGTTCTGCTGGAAGAATTGACAGCACCCCACAGGTGTCCATAGCCACATTTAGCAGTAAGGTCCCTGTCACCCAGGTGGCTTCATGTTGGCCCTCTGAAGCCTCAGGCAAGGAGAATGCCAATAAAAGGACCTTGGTCTTGCCCTCACCCACCTGATTTCCTGATATTGGCATCCATAGGGTGTGCTGATCATGGTTATAGAGGCACTGGAGTGTATTCTAATAGTACACATGGAGAAACAGAACAAAGATGAATGCAAGAAGGGAGAAAGTGGCTCATTTTTGGAAGTGGATATGTCCATGTACCCCAGTAGCAGCCTTCAGGTGGAAAGAAAAGTTAGCACACTGAGAAGGAAAAGAAAATTAGCAGCCCAGAGTAATGAAACAGTCTATCATGACCCTGCCCATAGCTATATGTAGCACCTCATTTGAAGCTTGACCTGGAACCGCATGAGCTTCCCAGAGGGGCAATCCTGAGTCTCCTCCATCATTTCTGACCTATGCTGACTGATGCCTCAAGCATCTCCTGCCTTCAAATGCTGAATCCACCAGAGGGGCCCTGTAATAGAGGATATGAATGAGTTGTAACATAAGGGAATTGGCAAGCTGATAGTAGCAATATGCTCTTGCACTTCCTTTTGCAATGGCATAAGCTGCATGCCAGCTGGGGATGCTTGGGCTGGCATCGCCACAGAAGCCTCTCCAAAGAGCTGAACATTTTCACTGTCATGAATATTAGGGAGTGTTGGGGGAAGGGTTGCTTTCAAAGAGCAATATCCCCCACCTGCAGACAGTATCACGCCTGACGATTGGAAACCAAGTATGTTGCTCAGCAGCATACGCTGGAAATACTGATCTTATAATGATTGACTGTTTTATAAACAAGCAGAAAACTTCAATGCAGGAAAATGAGTAGCTACTTGATAGACAACTCCAAAAGGTAGGACAAAGAAACCAGGAATCAGATACATCAATGGAAGGATTACCAATTAAACTATATAGAGAAGTTCCTACATGCATGGCTTCCTAATTTTCTCCAATAAATATTTTTCATTTATTCTTTTGAGGTCTGATAGGAGAATGTAGAGAGGAGAAGAATGGTGACTTGAGGTTGGAGATGTCACTCTGTACTGGACTTTCTACTGCCATGTTGTGAAGAGGATTTTCTTCCTGGTACTCTTGCTGCCTCCTGTGTTATTAGCTCCCAGCATTCCACCCCCAATTCTGTTCCTCTGATACTTTCCACTTCTAGTTTAGCTTAAAGTCTTCCTAATACAGTAAAATTCTCAAAGCTGTTTCTGCCATTGTGAGAACAGCTTATCCTTGCCCTCTTTACACTCTTGATGTAGGTCATAGTCTAGTAATTGAAATCTTTCTCAGAGACCTCTGCTTAGCCAGTTGTTATTTTTAGGATTCTGCTCTCCTTTTTTTCTTGGACTACAATGAGGAGGATGAATCTATCCCTGTGTACCTTCTGCAACGAAGGCAGAGGTGAATTCTTCATTCAGCATCTCTGCCATCTCCTCGTCCTTCTTCGATTCCTTTCTCATTCTATGATCCCATCATTTTTGTAGCTGGCTTCCTGGCTTCTGATCTACTTAAATGTTCTTTTTCTTATTGACCTTAATATTATTAACAACATGATTCTCAAAACTTTGTCATGCAGACATGATTGCATTTTGTTTTAAGGTGGGGGTGGGGCAGGTTCGCACTTCTTTTCTATCCCTTTTAGGCAAGAGTTTCATTTTATGAAGGCTTCTTTTCTATCATGTGTTCGTTAGTAGTCCATCTCCCTCAGACTCTGGGTGGTGTGTTAAATACCACTTGGATTTGTGGCATCTTTCCTGACCCACATTATGCCTCCTTGCTGGGATTATTATACTGTGGTTATTCTAAGCCTGCTGCAGAGGCTTATTATACCATACCACCATTATACTGTGGTTACTCTAAGCCTGCTGCAGAGGTCTGCTCCTGTCAACTTTCCCACTCACCCCGCTGGCTGGAGCCTATGAGAATCAGAGACTCACAATATCTGCAAGATAACGTTCCCTACCTTTGTTGTAGAATGATGATGCATTGGAGTTAGAGACACTCTTGAAGAGCAGACACCAGATGGACTCCAGCCAGTCAGGCTCCAGCAGCATGAATAATACTTGACCTCAGTGCTTGCAGCTGGCATTTTGAGTTGGCAAGAAAAGATCTGATGTTTCCTCTAAAGGGATTGATCCATTGGCAAGTGCTCAACAATGGCTACTGTTTGCCACATCAGAGTAGAAGTGTTCAGCTTCTCAGCACCAGTACTTGAAGACCATTTAGGCTGGCAGCTTGATAATGCAAAAGGTAGTACAATTATCACTGCATATATCTGTGACTCTCTGTTTTTGCACCAGAAGCCCTTGGAAAATCAGAAAGCTAAGGGATATCCAAACACATCACACCTCCTCCTCATCTGCCCAACCCCAAACAAGTGCTTGGAGAGCTGCTTGTACTATCAAACTATTACCCAGAATATGCCACATACTGCTCCTTATATAGCTTTATTTCCTGGAACTATAATGTAGCTCATTTCCATGTAAACATGGATAAATCTTCAGCTTTCATCTTTAATGTAGCAGCCCCACCCTATGTAACTTTTGTGTACCTCCATTGTCCTAATTGAGGATAGACAATGTTTTTGTGGTCGAGGTGTGCCTTGTAATTAGTATGAGGTTGTGATTTATTTTTTGGCATCCAGAGACTTGAGGATGACATAATAACATAATGATGTCACCAGCATACTGACATACGTATACATCATACTATACCCATTTAGGCAGAGTGCAAAAAAGAAGAAATTAATAGAAATTCAAGGCACGTCAATTAAAAAAAAAGAAACAGCTAAAATTGAATTAAAGATCAACACCATTCACCACGTCACGTCGTATCTTTAGAATCCTCCCTAATCTTATTTGCTGTTCATACTTGGATTTATACATTAACTTTAACAATTTTCAACTTTCTGAGAATATCATCAGATCTATACAATCACAGTTTTCTCAGTCTTCCCTCTCATCTCAACAGTTCAATCTTCATTCATTTTCTCTATAAACAACTTAAATCCATTTTTGTAATGATTACTCACTTTTGTATTCAGTCTTCATTCATTCAGTGCCCTTCTTTTCTTGACTCTATATCTTCTTTTACTCACAGAGATCTCAAATACCATTCCCACCACACTAAACCTGTTTCTCATGAAGTAATTCTTGCTGCCATATAGCAAAGCATACAGAAGCACAAACCTAGTCACAGCCATTTTTTATCCTTTTAACATTTATTCCCTGCAACAGACCACGTACTGTACGCTATCCTTCTAATGTCCGAAAGTTTCTCTACGCATTATTCCATTCCATTCCGTTCCATCTTTCCTAACTGTTCCTTGCTCTTTCACCATATAATTGCACTAAGGCAATATTTTACTCTCTCATCATCAATCCCTCACATACATTGCTAGCCTTCATCTGCAGTCTTTTTTGCTTCATCATTTGCCAACTATCCCTTTTTACACTTCCCACTCTAACTTTTCTTTCTGTTAAAAGAAGTGTTTACCTTCTTTCTTACATTCCTTTTCCATTCATACTGCTGGAAGAGTAATTTATTTTCTGACATTTTTCATACAGGATTCATCCTTTCTCTCCCTTTAATTATTTATCTTCACTTTAGTTTCTTTTATTTTTTATTCCATGTCCCTTTTGCCCAAGATGCAGTCCTGACAGTACCAAAAAATTATAACTGAGAACTTCTCATTGCTCTTTTATCCTTCAGTAATGTTTTCCATCTTTCATGATAATGAATCCAATTATAGTTTTACATTTACCATGTGTCGATACAAATAGACTTATATTTAAACCCCATATTTGAAAAACAAATAGATGTTTTTCTAGACAAATTCTTATCAAAAAATAATCACCATTTTCCTTATTCCTGGATCTCCAAATGAGCCAATTGCTTTTCTATAATCTCTTGTTTCATTCCTACTCAACCATTATTTGCCAAATATGTTTTCTCTTGGGTCATATTTATTCAGAATGTTGCAGTTTTTTTCCTCCCAATTCAACATTGTTTCTTCCATTATTGCTATTCATTGGAGTATAATATCCCTCTATCACCCATCTATTGATTCCAACTTTTATGTGGATTCAGACCAAGCAAGATGACCATAATTCACATTTTGTGATATACATTTTAGCTCTGTCTTCACAATTAAACCTTCACTCAAATGTTCTCTCCTTCTGCTTTCTCTTCCATTTACCCACATTTTTCTTCCCTTCATTCTTTACCTCATGGTCTTTAGAGTTATTCCAAATTGCCATCTTCTCTATGCCACGATCATCACCAGAGAGGCCATAAATATTGAGCTTAACTGCCCATTATGGATTTGGTCAATCAAGGCTTTCACATAAAGTTGTGTTTTGTTTTGTTTTTTACAAAAAGACAAAGTAGCTGTGGACTAAGTTATTAAATGTAGATGTATGTATGACACACAAAGTTTTTTCTGCTAATGATAAGACCTGGCCAGTATGCAATAAGCACAAAACTCTATTTTTCCCCAAAAGTACCCATGCTATTTGATGCAAACCAGGATTTATAATCTAGGGACCACCTCAACATGTGGCACCACAGTACGTTTGCTGAAAATGTTGAGCCAATGTGTTCAGGGGTCTTTGAAAGGGATTGCATAAAGCCTAACAGAACCTTAAGGTTCTTATGTTAATTTCATTGGTATCTGAGAGAGGATAGAGGGAGAAAGATAGAGTAAATCACACCACTGAGAGCTAGCATTTGCTGCTAGGACCTTGGTCACCAGGCTCAGTTTTAGTCCATTAGACTCATGCCATTATTGTTCAATCTAGAGCTGTTTCCCTGCCAAGTTAGCGATTAATAAAAGCCACAGGGCCTGAAGACTTGTTTTGGATTCAAGGTTGGCCACCTCATTTGTTCCTAAAATTATCCTCCAAATTCTCTTCTGTAAATGCTGATGTCTAAAATGTTAGAAACAATTACCTTAAAAAAAAAAGCAGCCAAATATCTGATATCTGATTATATTTTATTTCAGTAGTGATCAGTGGTGTGTTTCAATTTTTTTTACTACCGGTTCTGTGGGTGTGGCTTGGTGGGCGTGGTATGGCTTGGTGGGTGTGGCTTGGTGGGCGTGGCAGGGGAAGGATACTGTAAAATCTCCATTCCCACCCCACACTCCAGGGCAAAGATATAGTAAAATCTTCATTCCCTCCACCAATCCAGGGGAAGGTTACTGCAAAGTCCCCATTTCCTCCAGATCAGCTCGGACTTGGGAGGCAGAGAATAGATGGGGGCGGGGCCAGTCAGAATTTTTACTACCGGTTCTCCAAACTACTCAAAATTTCCGCTACCGGTTCTCCAGAACTGGTCAGAACCTGCTGAAACCCACCTCTGGTAGTGATACAGGAGAGCATTTGATTATTGATAGCCAAATATATGCTTGAGAGAGGTGGTTGGGGTTTCTTATTTAAAGCTTGCCAATCTTGGCTAAAGTGATTTCACCAATCCTAAAATATTTGCATTTTGTCAAATGTTTACATTTAGAATGCAGAGCTCCAATTTCCCATTCAAACTCTTGCTTTTAGACAATTTGAATGGCAAATTTGAGGATTTAAACAGAATTTATTTTTTCTACTCAAAGCATCTAGCTCATTTTCATGGATGTAGTTTAACCAGAGAACAGAAGAGCTAGGAAGTACAGCTTCTAAGACAACTTGCATACTCTTAACAGTTCCCCCCTCTGCCTTCTACTTTTTTCTAATTAATTTCTGCAGTAATTTTTTTTAAGGATTAGATTCTTTTTGCCCCCTACATCCTTCCACATGAACTAAAATATTTCCCATAAGAGGGCTGGGAGAAATCCTGGATTTAAAACACTAGTTTAGGAATAAACAGTGAAAAGCATTAACTTACAACTCCCTTGTCATAGGCCAACGAATCTAAAGCTAAGGAAAGTTGAAGCCCAAAATACCTGGGGGTTGGGGGCATTACTTTGCCTAACTTTGGTGCCTTCAAATCAATTTTGACTCCTGACGAAAAAGCTCCTGCAATTTTCTTTGCAAGATTTCAGAAGTGGTTTGGCCTTTCTTGCTCCCTAGGACTGAGAGAGAGTGGCTAGCCGAAGATTGCCCAGCTGTCTTTGTGCCTAAGCTGGGGGTCACCATGTCCTGGTTTCTACAGTAATTTAGTGTCTTAACCACTAATCTGGACCGGCTCTCACAGATATATGCAGTGTTGTTTGTTTTTTGTTTGTTTGTTTGTTTGTTTGCTTGTTTGTTCTATCTATCAATAGAATAGAATAGAATAGAATAGAATAGAATAGAATAGAATAGAATAGAATAGAATAGAATAGAATAGAATAGAATAGAAGAGAAGAGAAGAGAAGAGAAGAGAATTCTTTATTGGCCAAGTGTGATTGGACATATGTCTTTGGTGCATATGCTTTCAGTGTACATAAATGGGTAAAAAAGAAAAAAATACATTCATCAAGAATCATAAGATACAGCACTTAGTGATAGTCAAGGTTACTAATAAGCAATCAAATCATAATAGGAAACAAACAGAACAATATAAATCGTAAAAATACAAGCAACATGGTTATAGTCATAAGTGGGAGGAGATAGATAATAGGAAGGATGAGAAGAATAATAGTAATACAGTCTTAGTAAATAGTTTGACAGTGTTGTGGGAATTAGTTGTTCAGCACAGTGATGGCATTCGGGGAAAAACTATCTATCTATCTATCTATCTATCTGAAAGGACACATTCTAACCTCTGTGGCTGGTAGGAGAGATTTGAGAATTGGTTGTGGAAGAACAAAACTTAGAGTACGGGAGGGTCTCGTAGAGGGTCATTGCTCTGCCTGGCTTGTTAGACTCCTTCTCATAAGGAAAAGCAGAAGAAATTAAACAAGATTCCTGTTTGCATTAAGCAGACAGATTGCAGAATATTTGCATTTGGCATATAGTGCAATGTGAACACTTCAATGTGTGTTTTATAAAAGCATATAGATAGTGAGATTTATCTCAAGAGGATGCAATGGAAATGTTTTTTTTAATTTGCATTTTTTCCATATTGTAGTTTTAGATTGAGACTCTTGCACAGTTTTTGAATGACAATTTATTTGTCTGTTTGTTTGTTAAATCAGGAACTCAACAGAAATGAATAACATGGCCACATAGCTTTGGTCTACAATTCAGTTTCAAAAGGCTTACTGAAATGTGAAAAAATAATAATAGTAAAGGACTCAAATTCTCAGCATGGCAGCAGTTGGCAAGAGTGAATTTTTAATAGCCACAGCTAGAGGTGGCTGTACTGCAGCTGGAGATGAATCTGATTTTTGAAGCAATTATGGGTGGTGGACTGCAAGACAAGCAGATCTGAGACTTACGGAGCATGATCCATCAGAATGTCCTCTACAAGCCTCACTGAACACAATTGCTTGATTATATCCATCTTTTTTTTAACCATCAACATTCCTATGCCTTTAGTATAGCAGTCAAGCACCCAGAAATATAGCTGATTTTGCTTTTCTGAATATAGAGCTAAAGTCAAGTGATAAAGCTTTCCTCTTGTTACTACATATCAAAATATTGTTAAGACACACGACTGAGACCAGCAAAAATGGAAAAAAAAAGGCAATACAAAAAGTAATACACAAAACACAGGAATATTGTTTTAATGTCTCCCAAAAAGAAATCAAAATTTATTTCTCCCTCTGCCTCCCCCCAAAAATCAAGGGATCAGCATTGGGGAAAAAATAAAAGATACATCAACAGGCTGCTGACTGGGTTCCCTTCCCATTCTGTTCTCTATATTTTGGTTTGCAATTTCCTGAGCTAAATATTTATTACAATCACACTAATGGCCCAGAGAGCTCTCCTAATGTAGAGGGAATACAATTTCCAGAATTGTATTCATGCTGGCTAGAAGTACTAGGAGTCGTGATTCTGATACAACTGTAGGGAGTGAAATTGGAGAAAGATAGCTTTGCTGCTGATCTAGCACTGACGAGGCTAATAGAGTTGGTCCATAGGTCCCATTTCTTAGAAAAGGTCTCCAGCTTCAATACAGTTTAAATTAATGGGCACAGAAGGGGGAAGACAGGACTTCTACTATCTTGCCTTTTGTGACCTGTATCCCACGCAGACACTGCCAATGGGCATTCTCAATTGGAATGTTCCAATAAGAAATACAGGGAAGCCCTTCTCATCTTCTGCCTTGAGTTGCCAAACACAAGCCACAAATCATATGGTTTCCTCTGAAGCAAAGGAAGAAGTGTAGGATGTTCTCACTGTTTTCTCAGACTTCCTTTCTTGTCCCTCACAGTTGCTCTCCCCATTTCTCCCAAACCTGGAATGGAAACAGAACAGCAGATGAAACATCACACAGACTGAAGGGAAGCTTACAAAATGATCCAGGAAGGAAGGCATGGGGATATTCAGGCTTGCCTAGAAGGTGATTCTGACACCATAACCAAACATCATTTTAGGGGGATGAGGTGAGTCTTGGGTTGCAATCGGCCACCTAAAACTCTCAACTACATCTGAAAACAGGCAGAGGAGATGGCATGTTTATCCACATCTAGGCCTTGGGGTGAATTAGAGCCATCTCCTTTTCCTTAATTCACAAAGTAGATAGTAGGCCAGCCTATATCTTTCAAAACTGGACAAGTCCCAGGAAGTCTGCAACTGTCAGACCTCCTGTTGCTTTGTTGCTGCTCCTCTGTTGGTTGATTTCTTTCAGCTTCTATTTTCTGTAATCCTCAAGGCTCTCTTAGTGGTCCTGCTTTGTCAAATAAAAAAAAGGAGAACTTCCTTTTTTCTATGCAGTTTTTGGGAAAGATGGTTGCGCATAGGGCCTCAAGAAGGCAAAACCTAGATGGATCAGCTTCACATTCTCTGGATAAAGGAAATATCTTGAGGAGGAGCTAATACAAATAGACCCACGTCCATTCATATTTAATGGCCCAATCCATTGTATGATTTACCATGGGTTATTTAAGTTACAATTTCCAGTTTTGTCTGAACAGGCCAAGAGTGACATAAATTTCACTTACATCAAGATAAGTTATAATATAAATCTGATTTACCACTTGAGATATAATGGGAAAATCATTTATAAACAAGGTACGATGTCACCCTCAAAACAAGCACAAGATGCAGACAAGAAAAGAGCACCCTTACCCTAGAAGATTATGGTTTTTTTAAAAAACGTATCAGTAATGTTTGCATAGATAACTTGGTTCTTCACAGGTTAACAATTAAGTGAAATCTCATTGACACAAAACACAAACAGGGGAACTCTGTGGTATCTACAAGAAGTCCCAAGGTGTAGAGGGATACAACTCTAGCCCTGAGAAGGAGGGAGGGAAGCAAAATATTTGCACAGTCCTGGGAATGTGGGTAGTGAGAGTGAGATATTCAACAGCACCACTTTAATCTTGTTGTCCTTAAAAAGGGGGTAATGAAGGTTTGGGGCAAGCTTTCAAGATTCTGTTAAGATACCCAGTAAAGTGTTATTGAGATTCTCCTGACAACATGCCAAGTTTGAGAATGATGGGTATATTATTCTGACTCCTGGAGAGCACAGGCTCCTCACCGCTGCTATGAAAGCATATTTTTCCTATTTGAGGAAATCTGGAATTCTTTCCTTCCATCGTTTCTGTGAAAAGATCTTGCGGCATCACGAGGCTCTCCAGCTCAGAAATCCTGACTGATTAAAACTGCATTTTCCCTCACCTGATGTTTTGTTTCCATATTTCGCAGAAATTGTAGACTGCTGCCCTAGCCCAGTGCCAGGCTAGTTAACATATTGGTTATTCTCCGCTTATTGTGTGGTCATTGAGAGAATGGAATATAGGGATTCCCTCAACCAGATCTTATCCTCCACTACTGCCTTTGTCCAGATTCTGTAGAAGCCAAGTTAGCACATTTCCCTTGAAAACTAATCAGCACTGAAGCACTCTTTACCTGAAAATATCTGATTATCTGCAGTGGAATAGGAGCACGAAGAAATACTGACATTCTCATCCCACTCCTTATAGATTCTCTATTCCTGGATTCATGCCTAGAAAAAATTCAATTCTCCTGGTTCTTCTGCAAAGAAAAACCAGGACTTCCCAGAATATGGCATCAAAATGGTGGCGCTGTGCACTAGGAAACTAGTGAGTAGCTGAAGGGGACCAGGGATGCTTCATGCTGAGGAAAGAAGATACATGCAGCTGCTGTCACTTGCTTGTCTAAGAGGATCTTCTTGAGTGAAGGGAGACTGCTGACATCTCTGGCTGAGCTGCCTGTGTATATTTCCCACCCACTTCTACTGCCTGAATTGTGAAAGGCAGGTAAAATACAGAGGACTGGCTGTAGGTATGGAGGGCCCCTTCTGCCTCCTTCCTCTATTTCCAGGACTCTGTTCCTTGAGCAAAACATAGTAGAAGGGAGAGAACAGAAAGCCTCTCTCACCGTCTTTGATTGGAAGACTAAATTCCTAGTTTGGAAATAATTCCCTACGGTTCAAAGGGCTCAGGTCATACAGATCAATATAGCCCTGACAGTTTCTTTAACAGCAATGGCCTCCAAATAGGTTGGACTACAGCCCCCATAATCCTTTGGGAGATATCCAAGACCTCAGATCTCTCCAAGGCATGAAACACTTGCCATTTTTCCTCTATGATTCTTAATTCCATCAATATGGATTGGCAAAAGTTTCCCCAACATATTAGGATCAGCCGTATGCAAATCTGGATCTAAAAATTTGCCTGCCTTTCAAGATTATATAAACAAAAAGGGTGCAATATTTCTCATCCTTGGAAAATATAATTCTGCTCCAGTTCTCCAACTGCCAAAGTCCAAGTGAGCTTCAGGTGACCTTAGAGGGATGATCCTCAGAGGACGCTTGCCCTGTCTCTCAAAACATTTACTCTGCCCTCTGCTGCCTTTCTTCATAAGCCTTACCTGTCTATGGTCCCTCCCTTCCCCCATGCCTTGCATCTCGCTGCTACAAGAATTAATTCTCCGCTCTTCCTCACACAAGAGCATGGGTGTGATTTTGCACATTTACAACTGATTTCACTCTCCAGATTCATTGGGTTGTGAAAGGCAAGGGGACAGAGCAAACATTGCTTCCAGCCGCAGATGGATGTCTACCCCCACCATACCTCTCCTCCTCCTCCTACCTCTTCAGCTTCACCCCAGTTGTGGAAAGTTCAAGGACCTGAAACAAGGAGCATTTCAGGGACAGAACAGAATTGAGGCTGGGAGGGGAGCAGGAAGGAGGGATGCAGCCTGAATAATTCATCGGCCCTCCTCAAGCACTGCCTGGCAAAGTACATCTGAGCGACGGCAAACCTGCTATCAGAGCCATTTAGCAAGCTAGCCAGCTGCAGGCTAATGCACTCAACATCCAGTGGGCTGGCCAATCACTCTGAGGACAAAGAAGGCTGCTGAGAGGACTTCTCTTCCTGATGGGCTGTAGGCTGCCATTAAGGACTCAGGACAATTTCCCTCTCCTGGTGTCCATTTTACCTCCCAGAAGTACCAACCAGGCATACCTCTGGAGAGCATTACAATGGAGAAGCTTTAGATCAACTTTAGAGAATTTTGCCGAATATTTTTCTAACCATGCTCCTTCCGAGTTTTTTTTAAAAAACCTGACAACTGTGTGGAGTTCAACTTCTAGAATTCTGGGATCTGAAGTACACATATCCTAGTTAAGTTACAAAACACTGTACAGCTAACAACAGATTCAAAATCAAAAGAACAGATCTGTAGAGAAAGCAACAGGAAAATGTTTCCCTTCTCAAAACTAGTGAGGTACGGACTATTAAAAGCCCTTGGCCAGAACAAAAATGGTAACCCTGAGAATTTGGGGAGGGCAACAGAACATGAGGCTTCATCCACCAACATCTCTCAGTGGGTTGCTCTTGCAAACAGAGATAGAGATAGAGACAGAGACAGAGACAGAGACAGAGATAGAAATACAGATACAGATTAACAGAGTTGAAAGGAACCTTGTAGGTCATCCAGTCCAACCCCCCACCCAAGCAGGAGACCCTACACGATTTCTGACAAATGGCAGTCCAATCTCTTCTTGAAAGCCTCCAGTGATGAAGCTCCCACAACTTCCAAAGTTGTAGTTTCAGCTGAGCAGGAGACTCAGTGCTTACTCATAGATCACTGATACCATAAAGGTAGAGACCCACGGACCAGTCTGGAAAATGAATGGGCACTAAACTTGCAGAACCCATTCACCACCTAAAGCAGAATAATATACAACAGCAATCCCCAACCATTTTGGCACCAGGGACCAGTTTTGTGGAAGACAAATTTTCCACAGACTGGGGAGGGGAGGGGGGGAAGGAGCATGCAACCTGTACCTGTGTAGTTCCACTCAACCACTGTTCACCTCCAACTGTGCGGCCTGGTTCCTAACAGACCATGGACTGTTGGGGACCCCTGATATATAGAACCACTTGAAGAGGATTTGAGAGGGTGGACTGGGTTTGGGAGGGGAATTTAATGATGATTTGCTAATTTAGCACTCATTTGTGTTCCGCATGATGGGTGGAATACAAGTTAAATAAACAAACAAATCATTTTGCCTCTGAAGACACTGGTCACAGTTGTCAGGAAATCCGTTCTTTAGACCACAATTACTAAACTCAGAGTTTATGAGCAGATACCACCCAAGAAAGCTATACTAGTATACTCACAACACAATTTTCATCTATTTCTTATATGGAAATGGCAGGCATTTGTATCTTTTGTTAGTAAGAAAAAGTGAGTGACATCTCAGACCTGAGGGGTAACAATATGAAATTGCCCCATCCCCCTCTTTATGACCAACTGTAATCTCAAAATAGCAAGGCCCCAAACTAATTGAGCTGGCTTCAAACTATGTGCTATTGGCTGCTAGAGAGAGGATAGTGTCAAAACAGCTTTGACTCCATTGTCATAATTCCCAAAGAAGAATCCTTTCTCCCATTTTTTCCCTTATTTTATTTGCTCAGATACAGCAGAATTCTCTCATGCTATTAAAATGAATATTTAAGATCTGCTATAAAATGTTACAGAATATTCTCATTCCTTGATACAAGCTCCCCTGTTCAGGCTCAGTTATGACCTCCTTGCAATGCTTTTGATTCTAACACCTATTATTCCAGATGATTGACACAGTAAATGTTTGAATACACTCAATCTTCAATAGTCCAGAGTCTTCTTGAAGTTGAACCTTAATAAATCATCACTATTATTTCTTTTGGGAGTGGCAAGATATACCCTAATTTGTTTTCTATTACATGCTTCAGCAGTACAGCATTTGCTGACCTTGGCTTTCCTCAAAAGTTGAGCATG